TGCCCGGTCCGGGATGTTCCCGACGGGGAGGGAGATGGACGTAGAAATAATGGCTGTTTGTCTGGTGGTAAAACAGAAATGAGTCGGGGGTGCAGGGGGTGCTGGGGCTGAATGCGGACCCCAGGGAGGCCCCGCTGGGGGTGACCTTGAGCAGGGACTCGGGGGCGGGGTAAAGGGCGGCAGGCGAACCTGGGGCAGGTGGACGGCTTCGGCCTGGTCGCACGCAGGCGGGCGCTGGACGCCACCTCAGGTGTGAGCTTGTCCTGAGCAGGGACAGCACAGCTGCTCCCAGGCGCCCAAGCAGCTTCCGGCAGAGCTCCAAGTGCAGCAAAGGAGGTGCACACACACACACACAGGACGTGTGCTTACACACACACACACACACACACACAGGACGTGTGCTTACACACACATGCTCACACGTGCGCTCACATGTGCATGACTCGCATGCGCACACATGCTCACACACATGTGCACACTTCCACACACGTGCATTGCTCACTTGCATATGCACATGCTTCCGTGCACATGTACATGGAGCCCTGTGCACACTCACATGCAGATGCACACGTGCACGTGCTTGCATGGACATGGAGCTCATGCACACACTCGCATGCACACTCACATGTGTAAGCTTGAATGTGCATGTGGTGTGAGCACAGGTGTGAATGCGCCCCTGGCAGGCTACACTGCAGCACCCCCACAACCCGCACAGGGACCCCAAGCTGTGAGCAGCGTGGTCCCAGACCTGCCCCGGCCCCTGGGCTCTGAGAGGCCGCCACCAGGGCCAGCAGGCTGGGCCCCCTCTGGGGACCCGGGAGCTCAGAGACTCCAGCCCAGGAGCGTGTGGACTTGGTGATGGAGAGAGGGGCTGAGCACCCCGAAAAGCCTGGCACCTGCTCCCCGCCAGCGTCGGGCCCTCGCAGCCCCGGGCTGGGCCTCCGAAGCTCCACACCGCGCCCCCCTGCCCGTGGCCTCCGGCGGCTCAGCGGCGCGCCGTTCCCTGCAGAGCCCAGAGCCGTGGCGACGGGGCAGCTGGAGCGCCCCGGGGGGCCGGTGGAGACCGGCGGCCGGTCCCGGCAGCGGCGCCCCAGCTTCCTGGAGTGGGGGCTGCTGCTCCTGCTGCTGCTGGTGGCGGGCGCCCTGGTGGCCTTGGGCCTCCTCTACGCCCCGAACAGCCCTCCAAGCCGTTTACTGCTTCCTTCCTCCCACACGCTTCCTTAGTTAGGATTCCCAATGCGGAGGGAAAAGCAGGTAGTACTTTTGTTCCACCCCTCACTGTCTCTAATATACCTTATTCTCAGAATCACTCTGGGATCCAGTTTCAGGAAGATGAAAAATATCTCTTCCTCACAGGTTGGAGGTCCTGGACATGACCTTTATAATATTTACTTTATATATTTTTTCCAATTCTTACAATTTATGCCAAAAATTGTTGGAGATACCCGCCCTTTTAAAAATGACTTGCCATATCGATTACATAATGAATAAAACAGTTTATACATATTTGCTTTCTACCTATAATTTTGAACACAGTTATAAATATTTTAGTTTATGGATTAACTCTGTACCTGGTCCTCTCCTAATCCACATGGTGTTTTCTTTGGAAATAATAAAATATATATCTTTGAGGCCAACATCCATAAATCCAGGATATTCTCAGCCATCTTGTTCTGTTATAGTATGAAGTTAGACTAGAAATAAGACAGTGTTAAGTGAAAGAAATTTTCTTTGCCTACTCCACCTCTCATGAGCCCCTCCTGGCAGGTGCTGGGCCTCCTCCATGGGCTCAGGAGTCTGTGGGAGACGCACTGCCCAGCTCTCAACCACAGGGCACGGCCTTGTGCTAGAATGTTCCCTCTCCGGAGCCCTCTGCTCCGCCTGCACCACCTTGGGGCCATCCGGCCACCCCGGGGCAGGGCTGCCTCTGTGACCCAGCAGGGGGCTCAGTGTGGATGCCCGGGCATCCCCTGCCAGGGCGGCTCCCGGTGTGACGGGTGCCAGCTGCTGGGTTTCCAGCCCCTCCTGGTCTCCTGCCAACTCCCTGGGCCCGGGGGGGAGGGGGGGGTAAGGGTCCCGGCACATGAGCCCTGGGGAGCCCAGACCCCAGACTCCCAGCAAACACCCGGCATGAGGCTTCCAGGGAGCAAGGTGAACGCCCCCAGCTGTGGGGTCCAGGGGCCTGTCCTCTCCTGGGTAGTGAGGAGCACAGAGCCCACCCCAGCGAGAGGGCCTCCCTGCCCAGCCTGCCTCCCCCATCGCCATCTCCTAAAGACCAGGGTCTCTGCCAGGGACCCAGGGTCAGGACCTCAGTGCCCCCCCCAAACGACCGGGGTGACCAGCCCTCCCTGGAGAGGGGAGGGCGGCCCGGCAGGGAGCCGAGCCGGGCTGAGCGCGTTTCTCCCCAGGGAAGCAGCGGCCACTGCTCACCAGCCGGCTCCCCTCCAGGGAAGAGGAGGCCGCTGT